ACTGGCTTTGGCTGGGTTTCACCCAGTTTCTGATAGAGAAAATCAGTCTGACCACTGGCGTCCCTGACTGGGCAGCTTTGTGCTGGAACTGGCTTGGGCAACACCTCTCCTTTAATAATGAGAGCTGGCTTTGGCATTATGGGATGTGCAGGTGAGGCTGTGGTTGCCTGGGCTTGACCTACACTATGTGAAAGAAAGACCAAATTGAGTAGGACAGAAAGTTCAATAGGAATAACCAACCACAGCAGCATTGTAATAATGCATCTTCAAGCAACTTCTCATTTTCACCTTAATTAGACCATCTAATTTCCAGGGTATATTATTGTTACAGTAGGCTGAAGGGCTGCAGCAGCTGTGTGCTGAGAATTTAAATGTTGTGCGTTTGGGGACGTTTCTGGCAAAGACATTTATACAATCTCCAAATGAGAACAAGACAGAGGCTGATTTGGATGGTTTGCAAGTATCACTGGTGACTCCAGCAGGTGTACTGGCATGGAATATCACTTGGGACTAATGGTCTTGTCTGACTTCTGTTAACTTCACCTCTGGAACAAGAAGAGGGATTTCCAGCAGGAATTCATGCTTAGTAGTCATTGAAGATAATTGTCCTTTAAGTCAAGTGGCTTTGAGCTGTGGCCTTGTGGGTGGGTTGGTGTTAGTGTGATCCATAAACAGCTCACACGCAACCTGCCACCTGTGTGGGAACATCTGGAAGTCAGTTGTGTACTTGGTTGCCCAAAATTAGTAATTCTGAAACTCAGAGGTGTATAGAGCATGGATAGAGTGATAAAGTACAAGCATTAACTTAGACAAAAACTGTTGTCCAGTTTAGAAAATAACTGGGTGATTTGCCTTTGCATATCCAAGCTTACGATGTGCAATACAGACACCATAATGCCAAGCAGCATTTGTCCTGATTCAGGGTGATCACCTCTCTGGCTGATGGAGCTGATACCTGATTCTTGGGTAAGGCAGTGCTTTGACAAAAGCCTCACTAAATCTCTCCTGTTGTTGTTGTTGCAGTGACTGGTGCCAGCTTCTTTGTGTTCAGTGGAGCTTTAAAATCCTCTTCAGGCTTCCTTGCCAAATCCAGTATAGTGGAAGGTAAGAACTGAACTGCTTGCTTAAACACTTCTCTCTTTGCCCAGCTCAGCTCTGCAGCTAAAAGGGCTCTCTCTGCTCATATGCCTTGGGCCTTGCAGTCTTGCAACTCAGCTTTATCCTAGTCCTAAGCAAAAACCACCCAGTTCCTTTAACAAGGAGGAATTTGTGCAGATGCTGCAAAACGGGGTCCCAAGAAAATGAGGGTAAGATACAAAATACTTGGCTTGGGAGCCTGTGATGGATTCACTGGTTTGGGTTGAGCCTAAGAAATACAGAGTGTGTAATCCACCAAGCAGCAGAGGAAGCCCTGCTAAACTTCCTCTGCTTCCAAATAGCTCTGCAGTGTGCTGGGGTGTGAATGTGCATTGTTGGTGTGCTTGTGTGGGCAGAGAGAACAGGACAGGTTGAAAGCACCGAGCTGGCCCCTCTTGGGTTTGGTTTGTTGTGTCACAGAAGGGGCTGCCCTGGCTGCTCTGGCTGGAAGCTGTTGGTGCCTGCAAGCTGAGCTGATAACCAGCAGCTGTGCAGGCAGGAGTGCTGTAGCAGTGCTCCTGCTCTCAGTGCCCACTTTGGCCACTGTCAGGCAAGCACTGACTTGTCAGCCACTCTCACTGCTGAGTGCTGCTTCCAGAGCCAACAAAGGAGGCAGCTCAATGGAGCAGTGCCATGTGGCGTTTCTGAGGGTGGCCTAGAGCAGAAGTTAGGTTGTGAGGCAAACTCACAGGGACTTAACTACAGCTGACTTCACCTGGGAGCTGCCCTTCTCTTACTGTTGTGTTTTCCCTCATCAGCACTCAGCAGGTTTGCAGTTTAGGAAGGTGACTGTTCAGAAGTCTGGTTATGGAGCACTGCTGCCCATGAACATTTCACCTCTGTTGCAAACACATGAAGGATGTTTGGTTTCTTTCTTTATAGACTGTGTTGGCATGGCTTATCTTGGCTAATGAGGATTTCTTGGTTCCTTAGATGGAGTGATGGTCCAGATAACTGCTGAGAACATGGACTCTTTGAGACAGGCCTTGAGAGAGATGAAAGACTTCACCATCACCTGTGGCAAAGTAGATGCTGAAGACCCTCAGGAACACGTTCACATTCAGTGGGTAGAAGATGATAAAAACTTTAATAAGGGGTAAGTAGAGGAGCACTTGATGTTGGTGCCTGTTAAAAATTTTAATTGATCTTGTAAGGCACATGAGTCTTCAAATCAATAGGAATTAAAAGTCTGCACCTCTGTTGTGAGTGATAAGATGCAATTAATTGTAATGAAAATGAAATTGAGATACCAGAGCTTTGGGGCATCAATTTAGAATATTGGCAATGCTATGGATTTTTTTTGGCATTGCCAATATCCAGTTATTGGAAACCACTAATCTGTCTCCAACTCTCAGTGCTGAATCCTGCACATTGTGGTCACCTTGCACTGTTGGTGCTTAGTTTGCATTAAGTAAAGCTGGAAACAAAATTGCTGAACATCAACAGTACTTTGGACACTTGATAGTTAAGCCAAAAGGAAGGTGGATTTGGCAGCTGAAGTCTTTATGGCAGTAAAGTGCTGTTGTGATGGATTCCATATTTCAGGACTCAGACCTAGAAAGAAGGATATTTCTGTAGTTTCAGGCTTTCCAGATCAATCTTAGGTTCTGCAATCAAGTCCTGGAATGTGTAAGTTGTGTTTTAGGTATTGATGGCCTACACTGAGTTAACAAATTAGCAAAAATCCAACCTGTATGAAATGCCTCATTGTTCTGTCAGAACCCTACAGGATCTCAGCTCTGCTTTGTTGGAAACCTCCAGGAAGCTCCTTCTGCACCTGCCTTGTGCATGTGACCCCTTTCAGGAATCCCTTGGATTCCAAGGTCATTCTCTTCTGCTCAGGGCTCTGTCCAGCTCAGTTCTGGTGCTGAGTCAGAGCTCACCCTCCTCCCTCCCTTTTGCAGCGTTGTGAGCCCTATTGATGGCAAATCCATGGAATCCATAACCAGTGTGAAGATATTCCACGGCTCCGAGTACAAGGCCAACGGGAAGGTCATCCGCTGGACAGAGGTGGGTCTGCCAGCCCAGGGCTGTGTCCAGCAGCTCCCCCAGGCCCCACAGGGAGCAGCCTCAGCTTCCCCACAGGGCTGTGGTGCCTTTCCTGCCTGCACAGGGTGGCATCCTGCAGGATCAAAGGGATAAAACATCCTCCCCCTGACACAGCCACAGCCCTCAGACACCAGCCAGCGCTGCTGCCATCAGGGTGTTCAGCCTGTGTTCAGATCCACAACACTTGCTGCCTTACACACAGAACAGTTGGTTTCATTTGCCTTTGGGTTAAAAGCTGCTTTTCTACATGGAGACAAATCTTAATATAAATTGTTTTTTAGAAATGTTATTTCAAGCCACTTTCTCTAAAATGTTGCATGTTAAAGTGTTGTGGCATAAATCACGCAGAAACTGCTTGCATGGCTGATGTTGCCTGTGACTCTGCCAGCACACAAATGCTGGTGTCAAAATATTTCTGTAAGTGTTTCACTTTGCCTGCTGAGGAGGAGCCAGGTTCCTTACTCTGCACTCAGCCCCCGTGTGCCCTTTTCTCCCAGGTCACTTGGGCTCAACAGAAACAAGTGCAGTGACCAAAATAGCAGAGATTTTCAGGCTTGTATTAAAAGTATAATTTTTTGAACTTAACGTCTGTTTAAAAGCAGGTTTTTATTAAAACCATGTGCGATACATAGTGAATTTCCATAGCAAGGCTTTTGACCAGATCTAAGAGGTTTCAGAGGACTATTTAAATTTAAATCTTTCTTCTGAAGTTTTAATTTTTTCCTCCCTAAGGTGACTTGTCTTTAGGGGTTTTTGCTGGGCTTTCCTGAGCATACTTCTTAAGTCTTCATTTGTAGAAGTTTAAATGACATCCAACCTGAATTTTCTAGAAAAGCCAAGTGTTATGTCTTGTGTTGACTCTTCCCTTCAGGTGTTTTTTCTAGAAAATGATGAGCAACACAATGGGCTGAGTGACCCAGCTGATCACAGCAGACTGACTGAGAATGTGGCAAAAGCTTTCTGTCTGGCTCTGTGTCCTCATCTGAAACTGCTGAAGGAAGATGGAATGACTAAGCTGGGTCTGCGTGTTACACTGGACTCAGATCAAGTAAGTCTTTAATAGTTTGGGTTTAACTGGGGGATTGTTCTCTTGTTCATTCCCCAGAACGGGAATACACCACTTAAACCAGGAGAATGCTGAAGCAGTACCAGTATCAGATGCTAATCAGGTGCTGCTGGCTGCTGTTTGGTGTTTTGGGACATCTGTTGGATCCAAGGCCAGCCTGAATTAACACAGGCCTGACCCCCCTATGGCACGAGCAGCACCTGCTGTGTGCTCAGAGCAGACTCTTAATTGGCCTTTTTGCCAGCAAGTGTGAGGGTCCTGCTCATCCCAGGGAGCTGCTGTGAGAAAACAGGAGGAAAAGCTTCCTTTTGCTCAGGCAGCCACTGGGAACACAAAGAAGCACAAAGACAAGTGGAAAAGCTGCTTTAGTGCCTGCTTGATCCAGTTCAAGTTCCTGACTTCCCTGGGAGATAGCACAGCTCCTCCTCCCTTCCTGCCCCCTGACTCACAGCCTCGTGTCCTGTTCTTAAAAACCCCCTCTTTGTATTTTTTAGGTTGGTTATCAAGCTGGGAGCAATGGACAGCCACTGCCCTCTCAATACATGAATGACCTGGACAGTGCCTTAGTGCCAGTGATTCATGGAGGGGCCTGTCAGTTGAGTGAGGGGCCAGTCATAATGGAGCTCATCTTTTATATTCTGGAAAACATCTCATAAGAGGACTTCATTTTCTGTTCAGACCTGTTCCAGCAGCAGTTGTATCTGAATCATTTGCACTTTAAAACTGGAAAATTAAGCTTTTGTTAACACTATTGGGGAAGGGGGGGAGGGGGGTGGGACAGTTGTTCCATAATTCTAAATCTTCTATGCATTGTCAACAACCAGAGGATCAGGGCAGCTTCTATACTACAACATGGCTATGCTATCCTTGCAGCTAATCCACTTCTGTTACTGTTTAGAAAAATGCTCATGTTTAAAGACTTACAGTCGTGTACTCTAAATGCTCAAAGGGTGCAAAGATCACTGGGGCGTAAATAAAAAGTGAAATTCCAACCTTGTACTGTCTGTAGATGGACATGTAAGAAACAATCAAGACCTCCATTCTGACCTCATCCTAATGCCATTGTGGTTATTCTATAGACATTAAAATGTAACGTTTACATTGTTTTGACCAGATTATTGGTTGAAATATGTTTGGAGAAGCCCTTGAGAAATAGGGAAAGCTTCCCTAGCCATAACCCTGTTTGTCTGTGCATCCAGAGGAGCAGGACAGGCAGCTCTCTGCAGTTGTGTGTAATAGGCTAGTTTCCTTTTCTCCTCTATTTACCACAAAAGTCTGTCACTTGGGCAGCTTTCTGTGATCTCCTACAACAACTCTGCTGTTCTGTACCTTGTTTACAAATCTGTCTGAAGCAGAGGAAAGACCAGCCCTGAAGTGCAGCTCCATCTTGTTCCTTGTCCCCAGTAGGTCCTGCTTTGAGATGAGTCCCAGCCAGGGCAGCTGTGTCCCCTCCCTGCTGTTCGCTGTAGTGTAACGCCAGTGTCACGTAACCCGAGCCAGCTTGTACTTCATATTGCAGCCCCATGTCCAAGCTTACCTGTGATAGCAGTGTAGAGTGGCTGTTCCTGCATGTTCTGCTGAAAAAAGGCTTTGTGGTCAGTTCTGAACATGTGCACTCGGCCCAGTGCTCTTGGTCTCACCTGAGAGGGCTTTGGTAAGGAGAGCAGCTGCTCGTGTCTGCCAGGGCATTAAGAAGCTGGAATTGAGCATCAGCCAGAGGAAATGTGGTTCCATGTTCTTACTGTCTCCATGGAAAGCTGCTAACCAGTGGCAAGAGCTGTAAGCAGGAGAAGGGGTTTGGTTTGTTTAGCCAGTCATGCAAAGCAGCTCTTTTGAGTCCCTCCCAGGAAGAGGGGTGAAGGTTTCTCCTCCTGTCTAGAACTAATTAATTTGGGAAGAGAGGTGCTAATTTATGGTGAACATTTGTGGTGTCAGACACTCCCTAATGCCGTCCGTTCTGGGGAAGCTGTGACACAGTAACACCAGTGGCCTTGCAAAGAGAAAGACAAGTGCCAGGCCACTGTGAGACTGAGGCTCTGGATTTTAAACAAATCAACACCACTGGCTGGCCAAGGGAAAGTACCTGCACAGGGATAAGTTTTACAGAAAGGCAGCCACAGAGTGCACGTGGGAATAAATGGCTGCTGCTTTTCAAAAAACAGAGTATGACAAATCCAATGTTCCCAATCACAGCCCTTGGAGAAGACAGGCCAGGGAGCTGGGGCCAACTCCACAAGCAAAAGCTGGCCAGCAAGAGGGAGCACAGTACCTTTGAAGGGTGTCAGATCCAAGTGAACCTTACCTCTGGCATTTGGGACAGGCTGGGTGACAGTGCAGCTCATGCAGTGGCGCCTGCTGGCCAAAGCAGGAGCTGTGACCCAGCCCCTGCTCCTGCCTGAGCAGCCCAGCTGGACTGAGGGCACCTGATCCCCTCTGCACACTCTGGGACACAGCTCAGCACCACACGGTGCAGGCACGGTTCCACAGCTGGAAGAGCATTCCAGAAACTTGGTAATAATCTTCCTCCTAGAGCCTGCACTCCAGCTTTGCCACAGCAGCAGCTTTCCAGTTACTTTAGTTGCATTGTTACGCTTAATAATGCAGTAAAAGAGGTGAAAAATGTTTATCTTTTCTTCTTTTGCCCCAGAAGTCTTTTAGGTTTGGATTCTGTTTGTGCAAAACACTATCAACTGGTGACTGACATGTCTGCTTCAACCATAGCCTTTGAAATGACCTTAATTACCATGTTGTTAAGAAATGAGTACTTGTTTAGAAAAAAATTGTACTTTTAAAATTCAGTTAGTTAACACTGCAAAAAACTGCATATTATATTTTTATTTTCAACATGTAGTTTTGTATATTAAATTTATTGAAATTAAAAACTAAACACTGTATTGTCTTCATCTGCTCAGGAAGACAGAGGCAGAGCTGCCTGACCTGTCTGGACTCTGTTCTGTCTCCCAACCTGCCCATCCCTGGCACAGGCACATCCTCCCCTTGGAGATCCCTGCTTTCTGTTAGCTCACAGATTTAAAAACACAAACAGATTTAGTACCCTTGGTGGGATGCTGCTGATCAAAAAGCATTCCTGAAAATGCATCACGATCCAGTTTTCTTAAAGGAACAAAGTGAGACTATTTTCCCCATCACCTGGAAGAATTGTAAAAGCCTATTTTTGTAAAAATACAAGGAACAATTTGAAAGCAGCAGAGTCTTATGTACTTTCTTCTTCTTTAACTGAAAACCCCAACACCATAAAGGATGAAGGCACAGTACCTTTCTGCGCTGGACAAGCAGTGCAGCAAGCACAGCACACAAAACTGGGAGCCAGAACAAAACCAGAGGTTTGTAAACACCAACCTGCTGGGGAGCCCTGGGGCCTTTCCTGCAGAAAGGGACAGCCCTTGGAGCCTCTGGTGCCAAGGGTGTGCACAGAGGGGGGACTGGCACCCCTGAACTGCTGCCTGAGAGCTCTCCTCTGACCCAGCCCAAACAGGCCTGGACAGGAGAGGACAGACAAAGCAGTAGCAGACTGTTCACTGAACCACGGCGGCTGCTCACACACTTGGGAACAGGAGTTCTGGTGAAGGTCTTACCTGTGACTTAACCCAAGAGCTCTGGCACTGCCTGAGGGAATTTTTAAAGGGCTAAACCTTTCCACAGCACTCTGCATAGTTAATGTAACATTCGTCCTGGTGCTACAGCAGTAGTCCCACATTAAGGCAATTCTGTCTATTTTGGGCAGACCGGTCCCAAGCCCTGCAGCAGCGCATTCCCAGAGCCTCCCTTTGCCTTGGAGTTATTAATAAGCACTATGGCTGTTATCAAAATAGACATTAGGTTCAGTAGTGCATTCATTTAACATCTTTGGTGCTTGCAGCTTAGCAGCATCTTCCTGCCTTCGCTCAGCCCACGACTTCCAACATTCCCACGGATCTGGGAAAACAGCACAAACAAACCCATCAGAATTCCTTGCTGCAGTACAGAACAGATGCTCACAGCTCAAGGAGACATTGTATGGAAAATGCTGACACCAAGGGTCTGGATGGTCAACCAGGAAAATCAATGGAGCACAATTATTAAGCTCCAGTGATGGAAAGTGCTTGGGCACGAGGCCAAGTTGTTATTTCAGGTATGGCCATCAAACGTGTCCTCAGCCTGACTGGAGCTCAGAGAACCTCCTGACCTCCTTGGCTTGGAGGACACCACCAAAACAGGCCCTCTGACACCCAAAGGGTGACTCCTGTATTGAAATGAGACCTCAGTCTCTACAATCTGACACCATTTGCCACCTTTGCTTCCAAACAGGGTGTCACTCTAAAGCTGATGAACTGCCATTTAGAAATGTAAAGTGAAAACATATGCTAAGGAAGAGGGAGCACAGAGGCTTCAGGAGATCAAGCAAAGGAAGATAGATTACTTATTTTCTAAATATTCTTAGTAAAGGTGACAGCAGGAGCTGTCCCTGTATTTCAAATGATTGTGAAACAGCATCTTTGAGATACAAACTAATCAGAGATTCTGTAACCTCATTTATGAAATGATGTCAACTCCCCACCACAAATATAAAGGGGAATGCTACTGAAGCCAGAGCAGTGCAATTAGGTCAATGCCAACAACAGACATTGTTCAAGCAGAGTTTTTCTGCAGCCCTGTCAATTCCTGCCCAGACCACCTCTGGACACAGTGCTCATACCTCAGACAGAGCTAACGCTCCAGGACCAGCCAATTTTCTGTAACTGTTTGAAGATCTTGACCACTGAGGGGCTCCCTGAGTCTCACTTTTACCTCCAGTTTCCCTCCAGTGGGCTTTCTGCCATCAAAAACCTGAAATAACCACAAAAAGAAGAGCAGTTAGGACAAACAGGGATTATAATATCAAGCTGTGGCTGTATTTGCCTGTGGCCCAAGTGTGACAGAGATGCCTGCAGGTGACTGCAGTGCTGGGGGTGTCACAGCCAAGCATTCCTTGGGCTGGAGCTCAGCAGAGCAGTTCCCCACAACCCAGGCAGGTTATCAAATCCACCTAATACAAAACTCGACTGCACTCACACATTTATGTGATCCAGATACTCATTTCCCCTTTGGGCTGAAATTCTGAGCAGAAGAATACACCTCATCCCAAAATCCTACCTCGATGATCTCTCTGACTTCACATTCTGATTCCAGCTTGTCCAGCTTCAAGTGTGCTGTCCCCACGTGTTTGTCACTTCTGAAGAAGGACCTGTGCCCAAGAAGTGAAGGGGTAAAGACTGTCAGAACATAAAAAGAAAAGAAGCCCAGAGGTCATGTGGGGATTTGCTCCATCCCCACATCCAGAGAGGGCTGGTCACAACATGCTCCTGGAACCCTGCACATCACAGTGCCAGAGGCAAACCCTTAAAAACCAGATGACAAGGAACAAGATAAGGAAGTACTCATTTGTTAATTATTCTTTTGCAACCAAGGTAAAGATGAGGACAGCAGTGAAGAGAAACAACTAAACCAGCACTTGGAATGGAAGCAGCTCCTGTCCCTGCCTGGGGTGACAGGGAAGGAGGTCCCAGTGGCCAGGACAGGGCCATGCCCTGCTTGGGGCTGTACAACAGAACAGGCTGAAGGAATTCCCAAGGAAGTTGCATCTCCCAGCAAAACAAACATTTCACAGGCACCTGTTGCTTTTGGCAAACTACTTTTAGGAAAAAGTCACATGAATCATTCTGTTTTGTCTTGATAAATCAAAACAATTTCAGTAAATAAGAACATTTCAGCTATTGTTTGGATTCACCTACATACTGGGAGTTTTAACAGTCAAAACCAATAATTTTAGGTTTTCCAGTCTGCTGAAATTAAAATCAGAAGTATTTTTACCCTGTGAGGAAAACAAGCAACTTCTCGCTGGAGTCACTTGTGTTGAACAGTTTAATCAGCAATAAATCAGCAATTTACCTGCACAGAGCCAGGTGTTCCAGCCCTTCCCAGACAAACTCCTCCAAAAGGCAGCAGCCAAGACTAAAGCACCCTAATTCCACAGAACTGTTCAGCTCAAACACAGAATTTCTTTGCCTGCATCCAAGCAGCTCCCTGAACCAGTCTCCAAAAGGTTTGATAAACAACTAAACTCTACAGAGTCTGGAGTTAAAAAAGATAACTTGGCCACACCTGCTGTGTTTTCTTGGAAATTTTCCAAGATTTCAGAAGCTTCCCTTCTTTACCCACTCTATTTCAGAAAAAAACAAGCAACCAGACCAACAAACATAAAAAACCCCATTCTCCACAACCCCAAAACATCCACCCTTCTTGCTGTTATCATTAAGAGATACTAAGATACTATCAAGCAAGACTTGAGATATTCAATGGAAGCTCAAAGATTGTTCATGGAGCCTCATGATCCCATCACTGGTGGCAACAGGAGACTGAGACTCTCAGTCAGTGAGGCCACAGCAGACTCACAGAACAATTTAGGAAAGTTCAGAGTTTCTTAGCTCACATGTTGGAGTACTTCCTTCACTTTACAAGGACCTTAAATGAGGGGTTATGTAAGTGTACTGCAGCATGTGGGGCACTTTGCTCATAAACTTCAGAGAATCAGCAATTCTTGCTGGATTTTTTAAAGCGTTTTTCTGTTTTATAACTCAAGAAACAAAGACTGGCTCATCCCTGCTCAGTTCCAGGGGGCTGCTGTGAAGACTGAGAACTTGCTCTAGGCTATGGCTTCAGAAACAGCTCTGGGGAAATCCCCTTTCATCTTCAGAAGCTTCTGGGAGAGGCTCAAGAAGAGATTTCTCCTTTGGAAAAATACATTGCTGAGTTTTTACTTGAAAGTGTTGTTAAACTGAAGTTTAATATATATGACCTGAAACAATTCTCCTTTGCTCACTGAGCAAAAATAATTCTTGGGAGATGGTCAAAGAGCTATCAGAGAACCCAAAGCTACAACAACCACCAAAGCATTTCTGAAAGTATTATTCATTTGTAGTCTTAGAAAAGACAGAGAGCAGACAGTCTTTAGAAAAGAGCCTGCATCACTTCATCCTGTCCCTTCTCCCAAGGAGATGGCTGGGAAAAGGTGATAGAAACCCCATTTAAAATAAATGTAAACACTTGACAGCTCTGTGCAAATGAGGGGGGATCTTGAACACAGAGCTGCCAGGATTGACAGAAAAAAAATAAGAAAATCAACTTTTGCTTCAATGGAGATGCCAATGGATGACTGGAGTAACAGTGGGACTTGAGGTCACAAACTGAAACATCTGCAAGTTGAAAACCATCTCAGAAAACCTATGGACAATTTCTGCATGGCCCAGTAATATCAACAAGGAACAGGACAAAGAGCCACCAAACAAAAACCAGATTATCTGGCATCCCATCACAGTCTGGGATCACAACCAACCCAGGGATGAGGGAATACAGGCCACTCCTATTGTGAATAACTGGACTGGGGATGATCCTGGTTATGAGCCTGGGCTGAGGATGATTTCCCTGAACACTGAACATTGATCTGGTGATGCTGCTCTCTGAGGTGAGGGCGGTCTGTCCGAGGTGAGGGCGGTCTGTGTGAGGTGAGGGCGGTCTGTGTGACGTGAGGGCCGTCTGTCCGACGTGAGGGCAGTCTGTCTCTCTCAAGGCAGCTGCCAGCAGTGCTCAGGACGTATTGCAAGATCCAATGAATGAAAGTACAAAAGCATAACTCTAGTTCTGCCATCACCTGTCACCTGCTTTCCTGCTCTTCATATTTTGCTGCCACTTCATTATTTTACAGAGTTATTCTACAGAATATTTAAATTTTCTAGTACTGATGACTGAAACCAATCTGGGTAAGAATCAAAACAATTTGAGGTAAATCACTGCTTGCTCAGTCCCACAAACATCCTCAACTGATCTGAAACAGCTTCAGTGAATTTGTGCCTTTCCTCACCCCACAGGGGAAGAAGCTGCAGAGCTCAGGCACATTTTGAAAGCTCCCAGACATGAATACCAGCCAAGTCTTCAGTGCTGGCTTAGAGATTGTGCTTCATAAACTTCAGCTCCAACACTCTTTTGAGCTGTCAGCAGAGAAGCAAACTGGACTCACCCTTTGTGGAACACTTCAAATTTGATTCCTTTGGAGCGAACTGCGCGTCGGAAGCCGCGGTGGTTGCGGTTGATGTTCAGCTTGAACAGCTGGTTGTACTCTGCAGGGAAACAGGACAGGGGAAGAAACCTGTGAGTCAAATGCTGTGCAGGGCTCCATCCCATGCTCCTGCTCAGAGCTCTTTTGTCTCAGTGTGGCCCAGAAATCCTCCTCAGGGCGGTGTTTCAGTCAGGCCCAGGGTGTGTCCCTGGGCACAGTTCATGTCACCCTCCCCTGACAGGGACAGAACCCAAACTGCAGGAAAACCAAACCACTGTGAGCTGACAGCAGGGCACTGGGGAGCCAAAACTGGAGAGTTTAGGGCTTCCAGCATGTAAACTGTGTTTGTGGCTATGAAAAAATGTACAAAATATTAAAGAAAAAGCAGAGTAAGGCTGGAATGACTGGGAAGGGTGTTTTGGATAATATAATGGATACTGGTTTAATTCATGACATAACAGCTACCACCAATATTGGGATGAGGGGGAAGAAATTGCCAACACAGCTGGACTTCACCCCCAACAAACCCTTTCATGAGAAAGAAGAAAACTGGTGGTGGGAGGACCTCTGGCCTGGTTCACAGTCTGACACCAGCCAGGGATTCCCAAGGTGCAACATTTTCCCTGCTGTTCCAGAAAAAAGGGGCTCACCTGGACAATTGTTATTGTTAATTACAGGTGTTTTACTCTTTTGAGGTTGTTCCTATTAAAAAAAAAAAAAAAGAGACAGACATCACACAAAACTGTCAGGTATTGTCTGAAAACAGACTAGAGACCATTTTTATTGCCAGCTCTGTTTTATGTCTATACCAGCAATGTAAGGTTTTTGGGGTTATCTAAATAAGAAGAGTCATGGTGTATTCAAGACTAAAATACTTGGACTGCAGTGTGGTAACAAGGATAATACTGCAGAAAGAATAAGCCAAAACATTACATTAAATATGAGAGCCATAGATAAACTACATAGTCACAGTCAATTCAATCCAATCATCATAAAGTTCCTGACTGGGGCTGTTAAACTCCATGACAAACTGTGCACCTTCCAGCACACAGTAATTCTGTTCCTCCTGCATTAGCTGGAATAATAAGCTACACAAGGAATTCATCACAAATCATTCAGGGAATTGTCCTACTATTATTTTCCCTGACAATCAATCTGCCACCAAAATGAATTAACTTTTAACCTAAAGCAGAGTACAAACTAAATCTCTGGGGAATGAACAAGGACAATGTGGCCTAATTATTGCAGCTACTTTGCAAAACTGATTTCAGTTGTAAAGGAGAAAGGTGGTGTATTTATTTGACTGTTGGCTAAGGAATAAAGACCTGGTTCTGCTTTAAACAAAGGAAAATAGATTAAAAGAAACTATGCTGATTCTTATTCATTCCCCAGAAAATTATTCATACAGACCAGTTCTGGTTTCAGCCACCCTAATTGTGTTACTCCTTCATTAAGGCCTCGAGTCACTCAAACCTAAACACAAACCTGGTCTGAGCATCACCAATTTCCCACAGGTAAATGAATTAATTTTAGTGGAATTACTGCAAAATTTATTGGGAGGTAGAAATCCCTAGGCTCTGCACTCTTCCAGGGCTAAGCATCAGTCCTGCAAGAGCAAAGTCTGGTTTTGCCTTACAGAGAGAACAGCAAAGCCCCAGGATTTCTACTGACAGTAAGAGACAGTCAGTCCCTGCCCAGAATCCCTTCTAGCTCTCAGGTTTGAGTATTTTTCAGACCAGAGACTGCTTTTCAAGGTGAGAGGAACAGGATAACACTGGGGAATTCCAAGGAAGGAAGTAATACATATGTGTATACATATTTTATATACATACACATACATACATGCACATACACACAAGTTTTAATTAGTAAGGGCAAGAAGCTTGCATGGCCCAAGTCCTATCTCCAGATATAGATATATTTCCTAATTAAATCACCATTTATTTGATGACAAAGATTAACACTTTCAATCCAATTCTACAATTGTAAGGGAGGCTCAAATGCAATACCTTTAAAAGCTTGGATTTTTAAGGCAACTTAGGGAGATCACATCTAAGGTGGCCCTTGGCAACAAATTTGTGTGCCCTGGTGCTGGGTGTGTTTGCACCCCCAAAGAAATGAACTTGGGCACATTCTGCCAACATTGGAAAGGGCCTGATGGAGCCTTCAGGGGCAGAGCTGGGCATGGCTGAGCACTGAGTGCTGCTGCCACAGAAGCCGCAGACACCGCCCTGCCAAGGGGAAGGTGTGGAGAGCATCGAGAGAAAGGTGCCAAGCTCAAACCTGCAGCCAACAGGCTCAGCAGCTGCTTCTGAGAAAAATAAATCTGCTTTAAAAGCAGATCCAGGCAGGATGTCTGGAAGTGTTCTCCCTTTCCTTGGAGCCCTCACAAGCTCATGCAGTGGCAGGGGGGACAGACTGAGGGGCAGAAGAGCCACGACACACTCACCGCACTCGGGTACTGAAATTCAAACTTCACAAACGCATCCAAATCTCTTGGTGACACACCTGGGTGAGACAACAACCAGCCAATCCAAACAGCCAGTGCAGACATTGTCATTGCATCTGTCATCTCGAGCAGGATTCTCAAGAGCACCCCACTGTTTTACAGTAGGACTCATGACCTGCCTCTAGACAACTGAATAACCCATCCATCAAAGCAAAATCCACGGAAAGTTGGCATCCAAGGGGAAACACCTGGGTTTTTTTTAAGATGTTGTTACTCCTAAGAGTCTAGCACAGAGGGTTTACAAGCTCCCAGGAACAAGGGGCCAAAAGCAGTAACACTGGCTGGAGCAAACCCTGTCTACTGACGGGTCAAAGTGTTGCAACTCATAGGCAGGCACTTGTAACAAAATAGGAGATAAAAATGAAACCTTAACTATGACCCAGTTATGAGTGAACCCAGGAAAATTTAAAGTTCTTCTCTCTGTCCAGATGGAACCCAGATTGTCTTTCTTCACCTGTCTGCTTTTTTAAAAATACTGTTTAAAGTTTTTAGGGGCCACGAGCCCAAAATGTGATTACTTTGTTTTAATGAGAGAAATGCTGGCTCCTAAAGTGGCCTTCAAGACAGAGAAATTCAGTTCCCCATTACTTTCCTTACCAACTCAGAGGAAATAGCCCACATGCCCTCCTGAGTACACACCTGGTGGGGCTGGTAGGTTCATCCCCCTGACAATAAGCAGGTGCATTTCTGTGCTGTTGAGATCAGAAAATATCCTGTGAAAAGAGAAAGACAAAAAAGCACATTCATCCCACCATCAGCTGACCCACTGCCAGACCAGGATGCCATGGCTATTTGTCAGAGCTTTTTCAACAGTGCACTCCTACAGAGATCATCTCCACAAAATACAGCAGAGCAAGGGAAGAGCACAAACAGAGCTAAAAATATCTCTGCAGCCAGGAACAAAGCCCAGGAGGCAACAGGATGGAGGGAGAAACACAGAGGAAGGAGGAATGGCTAAGAAACAGAATATGAGAGGGGAAGCTGGAGGCATTTTGAAAACAAAAGAATCAGCAAGAGAAGGTAGAGAGCAATTTTGTATTTAAGTTGTTGAGAGTATCCTTTCAGGAATGCTGAGCATAATCCTGGATGCCACCCAAGTTTGCTGAAGCCCAGAATTCCCTAAACAAGGGCAAAAGACCAGGAAAGTCATTCCAGCCTGACTGAGAAATACTCTTGTTTTTCCACACCTTATCATTTTAAATGTTCTTTCCTCAAAGTGATGGCTTGGAGGATCCATTCCTTGTGCTCGTGCAAGCTGTAGGATCTCCATATCCTTTTTACAACCTTGTGCCAGTTTCTCAAACCTGTAGAAAAGGCAAAAAAAGAGAAAAAAAATCAGCAAAAAAACCCACATGTGCCAGAAATCAAACAGAACACAGAGCAACCCTCAGCCAGAGCTGAGAGCAATGTGGAGATGCAGGAATCACAGTCCCAAGCCTTTCACACGAGGATAAACTCACCAACTCAAACCCCAACATCTTTAGGGGGTGAGGCAGACTCAACCCTGCCACAGCAGCTTTGGGGAGGACTGGGAGCAGGCACTGGCTCTTACCGAGTTGTTTCTGCTACGTTTCCCAGATGCATGAACTGCTTGGAGTACTGCACACACCTCTGTCAACAAAACCAAACCAAACACGTTCACTCAGTGATCCCCACACACAGGTTCATGACTGGCACAGTTCTAAGGTTGATGACAACCTAATTTAAGAAAAACCAGGCATTTTCCTGAGTCACTCAAGAACATTCACCACCCCATTCCTCAAGCCCAAAGCACAGCATCTGTTTGAGCTGTTCTCCCTATTACTTTTTAATCACCTGATCTGTAGATGTGATGTTCACCTTAGGCCTAGTTTTAATATGCAGGTACTTTTTTAAAACTTGAGTGCTCATATTTAAGAATGATAATTTGCTAGTCCCAAGCATTAAAAAGCACACCCTCTGGCTTTAACTATCCATAGAATCCAACTCTGAAAATTCTCCATTTTAGGACACACAGTATCAAAAGTATTTTAAAAGAAAAAAAAAAAAAGACCCCACTGGAACAATTATTGGATTATAGCATTAATTAACGCCAGAGAAATGTACAGAAGAAACTCCAAAACATTTCTAAAAATATAAAATGGTCACCTCATGTTGGTCCTTCAGCAATTTTACAAGCTGTGCATAAACTTCATCTGCTTTCTGAGACAGCCTGACATCTTCATGGTGTACAAAGATAAAATCACCCTCATCATCTGTAGGAGGTGATGGCAGCTGCAACACAAGAACACCACATTTCAGAGCCCTTATAGGGAAAAGTAAGCACTTAGATGTCCAAGAATAGGAAACAAAGCAGAATATTACCAGACCTACTAACCTTGGAAATATCAACAGTTTTGCCAGATTTTGCCTGCTCAATCTTTAGGTCAAGGCCCTTGGCTGTTCTGAGATATGTCTTTGCCTGTTCGAGGTTGTTTTCCCTCTTTGCTTTGATGGCTGCCTTCAGGTATTGCTTCTTCCTGTTCTCCAGAAATTCCAGCTGCTCCCTAACTGAAAAACAATTGTACAGAAACACTCACTCATCTGACACTGCCCCTGACACAGGTTTACCCTGTTCAGTTTACAGCCAGGAAAAGATCAGTGAAAGGACAGATGTCAAATCAGGAGATTTCCTTACTGCACTCAATTGTTTCTTGGGCACTTTAAAGCATTAAAAAAAGAAACAAGCTTCCTTCTGGAACAGCATCCTTCATCAAAAAAACCTCACAGCACTTCACAAGTGCCACAAGAGTTATTACAGCCCCTAATCTGCAGGCTTGAGACAGATTCCAGCACAGCTGACTGGTCCAAGGGAGAAGCTGAATCCAAACTTTCAGCTCTCAATGTTAACTTCTAAAAACCAGCAAATATTGTGAGCATCCTCTGCAGTAATTTCCTTCCTCTCCCCTGATTTGTCAGAAAAGAACCCTGATGAACCAATGTGCAGGCCCACTCAGACCTATCACCTCTGCTTCTCTGTAATCCCTTCTTCTCTTAGTTTCTAATTAATGCTTGAGTCTCTTCTTTCCTTGCCAAAACATTAAGGACAACCACACCAGTAAGATTGCTTGACATTGTACCAGGTTGGTGCATCAGTCAGCCAGGCAGTTCTACTTCATCCTGAGGGAACTGCCCAGGGCAGAAGGGAAGGAGGATGGGATTACAGTGGAGGCATCAGTGAGAGCCTGAGCACTGGCAGTGTGTCCCCAAACCACACTGGGAGTGCTGCCTGTCCCTCACTGCCTGCACAATTCACCCTGCACACACAACTGCTCAGGGACCTTAGCAAGGCAAGAGCAGAGACTGATGAAGCCCTGGCTGCACTGCAGCCTGAGAGCCCTGGGTGAAGCACCAGGCAGAGAACTCTGTGTGATGCAGGGAGCTCCATTAGATCAATGAATAATTCACACTGGCAACCTGACCCCTTTAATGAGGGTATAGGGAGAGTTCAGCTGTGAGCTGAGTTAAACATTATGAATCGATACACTTGTTACATCAAAATTAATTAAAAAACCTAATCAGCCTTATAATTATACATGCTGTCTCTGTGAAATAAAGCTGCATGGCTGGTCTGGGTCTGCCCTCCAGCACACACATATTGAGGCTCCTGTCAGAGGAAATCTATGACACACATTCACAGGCTCACACCTAAATTATAAAGTCTTCCCCAACTAGAGCAAACCACTTGCATGTGGAGCACTGGGGATGGCGATCCCTTCACTTACCAGCTGGAGGGAGATGATCCATTGCCTCTGCCTTGTCCAGGGAGGAGGGGGATGCAGCTCGTTTCAGGTGCTCAGGAGAGCTCTCCTGAGCTGCAGCAGGTGGAACTGGAGTTGGCTTCACAACCTGAGTTGGCTTCTTGGCAACTGGGGCCTGGGGAAGAGGCTCATTCTAGCAAAACAAAAAGAAATGCATGTTAAATGCATAAAATCTATTCCAGGGTTGAGGACAGCATCTCAAGCATCAGCACCATGGTTATCACTGTATCAGCCTTTGGATATTGCTTTTGAGGGGAGCATTGCATTCCAGACAGTAAATTTTAACTTCTGGAGGTTTATGAGCCATGCCAAGCCAGCAGGTAGCTGACCTGTGGAAGCCATAGATGGAATAAAAGGAATGTTTAACAAGGCCGTGATTTTTAAAAAAGTAGAGGCATGTAAAAAAAAATATCATCCAGGAATTCTCTCCATTAAAAGCTACTCCAGTTAAAAGCACAATCAATCAGCAAGCAAATCCAGAGAGAAATAGAAATCAAACCAAAGTCTAAATGCTGGTGCAGCCTGACAAAAAGCAGTAAGAGCTGAACATCCTGGGAAAGAACAAACATAGGAAGCTACTGGGATGCAGGATAAAAGTATAGATTTAACTTCAGAACAATGAAAGCAGTGGTGAGGATCTCAAGTGTTTGCTTTGAAAATAAAATCTAAATACAAGACAGCTATGAAAGAGCCAAACCCTGCACTCACAGGCTCTGTGGTACTGACTGTAGTAACATCTCATCTGTCTCTCCTACTCCATAAAGGAAACTGAAAAGACCATTGAGATCCTGCACTCTTCAGACTTTTGGGAATGAATTTCAGCTCATTTCCTTACCTGGAAATCCAATGGCCTCATCTCTGCATGCCCTAAGAGATGGCAATTGAACTTTTACACATCCTACCAGGCAACACTAACCTCCTCCTCTTCATCATTCTCCTCCATGTTTGCCAGCTTGCTGGCAGTCTCCAGGACAGCAGCGATTGTGCTGCCACCATCTGTTGCTGCAACACCAGGAAGAGGGGGAAATCCTGTGCAGGAAAGGAACAGAGGAGAGAGAGTTGCATAAGCCCTGTGGTGTGTCCTCCTTAGTCCTTGTTTACTGGGAAGCTGTTTCTATCCAAATACCTATTATCTAGTGTATTTTAGTATTCAGTCTAACTAGACTGAGGCCAAGGCCAACAAGCCTTGCTAGATCAAGTCTGAGTGGTGGCTTTAGATCAGATCTCTCAGAAACACCCAGCTTAAGGGGATGACAGTAAAATGATGCAGTAACTGAGCAGTGTTCCAAGCTGAGCAACCTCACAACCTCTAGACTTCAGCAGTAGGGATGCCCCCAGAACCAGCAGAGAATTTAGTCCCATTTTTTCCCCTCTCAGTGCTGCCTCACTTTAGCAGGCACACAGCCCAGCAGAAAATCAGTGCTACCCCCAGAGTAATGAACAATCCACTCTGACAGCTGGGCTGTTACACACTCAGCCTCTGCTGAAAAGGTACTGCAATGCAGAGGTAGCCAACTAAGGCAGAATCAGAGGAGTTAAATGAGAAGTGTATGAAGAATAATGTCCTTCATTGTTTTGTTATTCTTTTAAGTATGGGAGGAAGGCTGGATGATGGAAGTTAAACTCTCACTGCTACATGACCAGTTTAGTGTCAGCTTCAGAGAACAGAGATCCAGAGCCACTAGTATAAAATGTCTGTTAACACTTCTCTCATTTGATATACAGCAAGTATTCTTGCTGCTAGCCTCATGAGAAGTGCTAAGAAGCAGTGACTAAACTGCTTCTAAACCTAGAGACGGCTGCTACAGCACAAGTTTGAGGTACTCAGGCAGGCAGAACAGAGAACCCTGTGCTGCTGCCCCGTGTGACATTTGATCCATTGCTCAGCAGCATTTCTGTTTCCAGGGAGTCCAAGGCTGGTACTCATCATCAGCCAGATGCCATGAAGGGCACTGGCACCCCAGGATAATTCACTGGTGGTTTCAGTGACTGCCTGATTATTGTCTTCAGTGTCAATCACAGGGCCCTAGATGATGGCAGAAAATCACAGCTGATGTGCAAGGACACTGAGCAGTTCTCCATATTTCCAGAGGTGTAAATGTGGAGTGCCTCACTCTTACAGAAACTGGTGTTCACCAAGAAAGGAACCACATTCTGCAAAAAGGGATGCTAAAGTGCCTTTCAGGGCCAGCTTAAAACAGGAAACCTTCAAAGCCACACATGACCTGACAGAGCTGGCAGCCCTACTCTACAGTGCTTGCCATTGACAAAACCACCACAAGGTCCATCTCTATCCTCTAACTTAAAATCCAGGCACTGCTTTGCAGAGCTGAGTGTATCCTTCAGAAGAACACATCAGGCCCAAGATAAAAGGCAAGATGTTTCTAGGGGAGAAATGGAATCATGCAAATGAGAGGCAGAGCATTCACAGCTGACCTTGCCCAAACTTTCCCAGACACAGCACTCTGTGTTCTGAAGAAGATAAACAGGACACAGTGTCTCAAGAAACAGGCTCAGCTGCTGCCTCTGCCACTGCCTCAGTGTGACCATGGGCATGGTTTGCTTCATCTCTGCAGATGCTTTTAACAGCCAGGAGAGCTGCAATGCTGATTTGATGTTACAAGGTTTACAACGGGATATTCATTAGAGATCAAGTTCTGAGGCTCCTGATAGGAATCAGCAGAATGGGGGACATCAGGAAAGGTTTTTCTCTTTTAAAAACCTCTTCCCAGCAAAACTAAGAAGCCAATATAACCCAAATTTAGTCTTTCCTCTAGGAGGGCTGACACAGAGGATACACAAGTAACATTTTTAACACCTGCCTATGGTGAAGTTGTTGAACTTTTCAAATAGTGCCAGTTTTAAGTTCCCATACTGTCAATCAGGCTGTCAATATGCACGAATATTCAACAGTGTCAGTGTTTGGGAGCACATTAATAAAAAATCTCACAATATCATCAAACAGCGAGGCCAGCTACTCATTGAGAAAAAGGAGGAGCAGACAATACCTGCACAGCCCCTCCAGAGTGTACAAAAGTTTGGGGGTTAGGATGTTTTACAGTCACACTTACCAGGAGGAACAGGTAGCTCAGCAAAATTCACTTTTCTCCCTGCCTTATGGGCTCTTATGGCATCTTGGTATTGCTGCAATCAAAGGCACACTTATTTATGTAAGACATAAAATAGAGCTGACTGTGAATTAGCAATCATCTGTATTTAACCAGCATAAACACTGCACAAGACTCAGTATTTTACTACAATATGTGCATTGTCTCTATTTCTTGCTCCAAATGCTTTCCAGCTTCCCCACTGGACCTCTTTTCAAACAGACAGACAATACACAAATTATTTCAGCCTTGAAAAAGTCTTCAGCAAGAGAGCTAATTCCCAAGGCTTTGCTGGATGCAAGGAGCCCCAGCCCAGCTGTACCTTGGCTATCCTGTCGTGCATCCTGCCCTTGCGCTCGTCCCCGCTGGCCTTGGCCTGGGCTGCTGCTGCCCTGTACCTGTCCAGCCGCTGCTGCAGCGCCTCCAGCACCGTCCTGGGCTGCTGCAGGCACTCTGCAAACACAAAATGCCACATCACCAACACTCCAAAACACACAGCCTGCTGTCTCCTCCCCTTCTTCAGAGAGCAGCACGGCAAAGTTTCACTAGGAACACTGCTGTTAGAAAGTTTATTAACTTTCACTTCCATCACTGGTCCAGAACAAAAGTAGATTGGAGCAGCAGCAAAGAATACTCAGGAACATCAGCCAGGTTCACTCACTCCTGCTGCAGTTCAGTGGCAGAGGTCAGACCTTACAGTGCTTCCCAGCTGTGCTATTTTCAGGACTTATTACATGTGTAGTGCATGGCTAGCAGGAGACCTGTGATGATTTGAGTGATTAAGCAAATGCCTAACAGAGACCCAAAGTTTCATCATGTTGAGATATTTGATGGTGCTGGGAGGTCAATTAAGGCGTCACTGATGATTTTTAGGATTTGGTTGTTTTTTACAAAGATTGAGGGCCACTGGTTGCTTCTGTATGTGGATATGAAATGCAAAAGTCCTACCTGAAGCTTCTTGGGTCTGAGGTTCAGGTGTTGCAAGATCCTGGGAACTTCCCACCCGGGGTGGTACTTTTTGCTTGGATGCATCTTGTACATGTCCTAAGCTTTCAAGATCTGCAAAGCAGGGAAAGCAGGAAGTTTCACAACATGTTCCATACCCAGCAATTACTGCTGCATGTCACTCAGAAAACCTTCAATTTGATCATATTATCTTCCTGAAAGCTTTCTGGCTTCCAAACAGTATCTCCACAACTAGATAAGTCTAAGGTTCCCATTATCTACAGAAAATGCTTTATAAGAGAAAATCTCAAATGCTGATTTAATTTTGGTTAGGGCTGCTTGAGGGGGAAAAAAAAAGTAAAAGTAGTTCAAGTATTCTAAGAATTCTCTCCCCAAAATATAACTTGGTATCTTGGCAGATGGAAAGAGTGAACAAGTCTGCTAATTGACTAAAATATTCTAGTAACAAAAGATGTGCTGGGAAAGGGAAGAAACTCCTATCATCTATTCAGAAACTCCAGTTTCTGGTACTGTGGAACAGAAAACTACAAGATTATTTGCTGCAAAAATCTTGCACTTTTTAAGGCAAGGTTATGCCCTGGGTGAAGTTCCTCTGCAATGGCATTTATGATCAGTAACTTGAGTCATGACTCTCATGATTTACTGAAATAATCTGTCATTTAGTGTCTTAGAATAAAATAATAAAAACATAAAACTCTCTCTTACCAGGACTGAGGTATTTTTAATATTGAAAACTTGCTTTAAAAATCAGACCTTAGTGCACTGCAATCTGTTAATCTGAACGTTATGAATTTTAGTTGAAGCACACAACACCATCAAACATTACAGTAAATTTTAACAATGTGCCATTATCCTTCTTTCCCTTCCACTTCAAATACTGGCAGCTATTACCTACACTTAGAAAACCCAGAATATGAGACATCAATACTTGTTGGAACTTGGAATTCACAGAGTGTAACTGCAATATAAGTAATGATACCTCACTTCTCTTCATTGGTCTTGATTAGACTGTGAACATGCAGTGAGCCTCAGTCCTAAACAATCTTCAGTTCTTTCAATAGCTTTGCAACCAAATGCAGAATCATTCCATTACAGCACAGAGAGACTTCTGGAAAGGTTTCCTGAAGACAACCCTTACCCTGAGGAGATGGAGGCATATTCTGGAGGTCTATTGGCTGCCCACTGTCCAAAGCTTCCAACACCACATTGAATTTCTAACACAGAAAAAACAGAAGGTTTATTCTGGTCTGTCCAAGACCTGCCAGCTGCCACAGTCAGTATGTGACATTTAATGCATATGGGTACAGCACAGGCTATGCTCAGCATTTGGGATTTCTTGAGTGCATACCTTGCCTGCCCTCATGTATTCCTTTGCCTTCTCCAGGTCCCCTTGCTGCTTGGCTTTTAGAGCTGCTAATTTATACTCCTTCTGCCTCATCAGCAGGATTGCTCGTGTGCTGCTGTGCTGGGGATCTGGGAGAATGAGACAATGCTGAGACTGACACAGCATGCAAGATTTGCATCCCTTGCTACATCCATCTATGCAAATCCACATTTGTCCCCTTTTGCTGTAAGTCACAACAGCAATCTTACAAACATCCTTCTTCCTCCAGTCACCACAAGTCCTATCTAACACAACAATTCCACTTTTCCCAATTTAAAGAAAAAACATAAGGTCTTTAAGTCAGTATCTCAAACCTCTTCAAAGGCTGGGATTCCACAAGTCAAATAATGAAGGAGAAACTGAGGCACAGGAGAAGATAAGGACACTGATCCACTGCACAGAAGAGCTCTAAAACAATAACTGATTCCACTGCCAGAAAGTCAGCATTCCATGGACAACTCTGAGACATTCAGCAGGAAGTTCCAACATAAGCAGTGCTTTGCTACACTCAGCACAAACATCAGGGAAGATGCAACATTGAAACAGGGTTGCAACTGCTCCTGTCTCAGATCACAGTACCTGTTTCCACAGCAGGATCAGCAGCAGCACGACCTTGTAGAGACTCTGATTCCAAAGGCTCCCTTGCCTCAGGAGAAGCCTTCTGCTCATCATCTGCAGCACAGTCAGCTTTACTCTCTGGTGAGTCTCCTGAATTCTCCAGCTCCACTCCCATGGCTTGAGGTACACAAGAAGAACTCTTGCCTGTTGCAACAGGAGGTGGCATTTCTTCCTCATTGATTTTTTTGCCTTTCTTCACTGCAGCCAGCATGGTTTCCAGTGTCTGGCACAGAAGGACCAACAGAGCCAACAGGCTTTTTCATCAAACATGTTACCAGCACAAGATCATTCAAAGACAAATTCATCCCCTTGCACATGACAGGCTCTGTCACACACAACTACACTGCTGCCCTTCAGCTCCCTGTTCTTCTGCAAGGAGAGAGAACTTCAGTGCCAGTGAAAGGTGTCCAGATACCAGAGCAAAGGCCTTGTTACCCAAACCAGGTAACTGAGGTACCTCAGCACCCAGAATTACTGGGGAGTTGATGTGATCCACTCAGCTTTGTCACAGAAAGTCACCAAGGAAGCAATTTATACCAACTGTACATGGATTTTGTGCATCTTTCAAATGTAAAAAAATATGCTATTCTGAAATGCCACTGCCTACATGGATCCAGGGAAGGAAGGGCTCTGCAAACCTATTTAATGCAATGAGAAAAGTCATTAAATACTAATAAAGGAAATGGAGCTTCAGCTCATCACCTATGGTAAGGAGCTCTCACCATCTCTAACTTGGCTTAACTGTTGCTCATTTTTTAAGAAACCCTCCTCCTCCCAAGTATTACCTGTCTCAGTATTTTTATTTTTTAAATTTAATTTGAGGCTAAGACAAAAGACCACCATGCACTTCAAGCCAAAACAAAAGTTTTACTTTTGTCTTCCAAAGAAACTGAAATGGAAGCACAGAAAGACAATAACTACAAAATCTCATCAGTGCCAGAATCACTGCTGGGTTTTCTTTAGCCATGGCATTGTTTGTTCTACTGAATAACAGTGGCACACATACTTTGAAATGACTGCATGTGAGACTGGGGTTCAGACCAGCAGCCCATAGGCAGCTCCCTCTTCTCCATGTGGGGGTGACAGACTGAGGTTAAAGTTCAGTTCAAAAAGTTCAAGAACTACATAGAAGAGAGAACTCTACACCATTTGTTGACATGTAATTTTGCTAATTCAGTAGCTGTGAGCTGTGAAGTGAGATCTGGTCTATTATCCTGTTACACTGCTTAGGCACTGGGAAACTCCCTGCCCTGAGAAATAAAGGAAGAGGCACAGTGCACTTAGCTCATGACTGGATGGAATGGCTGGTTTGCCCATCCCTGTGGCTCTCACAAAGGCCAGGTGCTTTTGTGTACATTCCTGTCAGGGCTGGCAGGCAGTGGACACACACAGACATCTTGCTTGTGCTTTTTCTTACCCAAGTTTGGTCTCAATTGTTCCCTCTGTACCCCAAGACAGCCAGTGAGCCATTACATCCTGCCCCAGTGCACAGCCCTGAGCTGTTCAGCTCTGCTGCTGCCCGAGGTGATGCAGGAGAGCTGCTGAAAGCCACGGGGAGAGAAAGGCCCAGCCCAGCAGTAAACAAGCACTGCAGCTCACTGCAAGCACGCCACCTGCCTGGAACACGAGGGGCTGGAGAGACTGCTCTTTGCTGCAGCTCCTAATTGCCTTCATCAAAAATCCTGCTCTATTCCTTTTCAAGCACAGCCAACACACTCAGGGAAAGGCACCACCTCCCTCTGTCTGACAGGAGTGAGTGGAAGGTGAGTACCTAAGGGATGGCAGCAGTGATGAACTGCAAGGTGTATGTGCTAGAAAAACTCCTAAACTTTGCTTTAAGGTAACACTGAGCAGTCACCACAGGTCAAATTCAGATCCAGGCAGCTGGGTTTAACTTCAGCATGTACCACAAACCCTGCCTCCAGCTATCACCTGGCAAATTCAACAGAAACAAAGCTCAAAAGGCAGAAACAAAGCTCAAAAGGAAGCCACACCTTATCTGTGGGTTTGCCGTATCAGGTGGGTAGTCAGTAACAACAAATGTTTTTAAAGTAACACCAGGCAGCACATGAAAATTTCATTTCCTGTCAGCAAACTCAGCCAGCTGGGAAGAGCACCCTTCAGAGAGCTGCCCTTGCTCAGCCTCACCCAGCCCTGGTGACCCCACTCACCTTCAGGCCCCTCTCGTAGCGCCGCACCTTGGCGCTCTCCCCCGAGTCGCGCGCGTTGGAAATCGCCCTCCTGTAGTCAGCAATCCTGCCCTGCAGCGCCTGCTGCAGCTCGCTGCTAACAGCAGGAAGTGAGGAGGTCTCAGAAAAAACAATAAAACAAATCAAGAAAACTTATTTCATCCAGCTAGACGAGTTTTCCCACCGCACTGAAAAGCAAACACTCCTCTTCTACACACACACACACACACACACTGCTGTGAACTGAGTGCAGGAAGGAACAGCCCTGAAACAGAGCAGGGCTTGTGCTGGGCTAACGGGCCCTGCATCCACCTCTGGCTCTCTCAAAAGCCTCACAGAGAAGAATGGGTGGAGAGACTTGGGAAACTCTCACTCACAGAGTAATTGGAGCCATGTGGTCGGTGAGTAGGTGAGGAGAACACTGAAGCCTCTCAAACCCCGCACAACAGAGGGTGTGAAGAGGTATTTTGGCACAAATCTTGACTTATTCTTTTCTTATTTTTAAACCATGCTAGTTTGCTCCCTTCTGGGCTTCAACCTGGTTTTACAACAAGAGCTCTTTTTCCTCCTCCTACAGCCTGGAATTAGTTCAGTGACAAAAGCAGCCTAAGCAAAGTCATGAGCAGCTACTTAGAAACTCTCCACAGCCACAGAGACCCTGCAGATGGCTCCTGATGTAATTATTGCCATTATCTCTAGAGAAACCCTCTCAATCCCATTTACTAACAGGCCCAGTGTACAAGGCACTGGAATCTGTGGCACACAACAGAAACATGCAGTGACTGAATAAAGGATTTGACTGCATGAGGACTGACAAATTTAAGCTGAGACAGACAATGCTACTGAGAAAAACCCCAAAACTATTTAGTTATACCATGTCTCACAATTTCAGCACACTGCTCAATTCTCTTAGGGAGAAGATACGAACTCTGGAAGCCTGCACTGCAGTCTGCATGCTCCTATGTATAATGAGGTGTTGTAATCTTCGCTGCAGTGTTGTTCTTGCTTCTCTTCTGGGGCTCTTCTCCTTTCTCTGCAGCTCAGTCCTTCCTTTCTTCTCAGGGGCTCCTCTTGGGCTCTTGACCCACCCCTATTTATCTCAGTTGCCTTCACGAGCTACAGCTGCTGCCCAACTAAGGACCCTGCAGCTGCAGCTCGTTTGGAGCAACTCAGAACCACAAGGTCTTACAATACAACATATATTCAGGCCCCCACAATGAAGGACAAGACATGCTTGTGTCCAATTGTTTACCTCTTCAGTTCCATGCTAACATCAGAATTCACCCTTGGAACAAAGCAGAAGGATCACCTGCACTCATACAGCACTGCTTTCCTTGGAGGAAACAGCAATTTTTTCTTCCTTGGAAGACAAGGCCTCCCCAGATGCTTGACAATGACCCTCATACAAGCCAAGTGACAACAGTGATTCAGCAAAACTCAGAAACACGAAGCTCATTCCTACCTGTGACTGCAGTTCAGGCAGTTCAGCTTCTGCTTCAGCTGGGGATGGCTCTGCTGCTGTCATTTCATCCTCACAGCTTCCTGCCTCACCTTCTTCCCCCAGAACTTCTTGCAACTCTGCCTAAGGTAAAAGTAAGAGCCAACAAAAGGCATTTCCTCAAAATCTTCTGTCCTCAAAAGACAAAAATAAAATCAAGTCTAAAGTGTCAAAAGCTTTGGATGGATTTTGAACCCAAGTGAAGAGTCTGAAGATCTTCTATTCCAGTCTTCTTTAAATTCAATTTTATTTTTTATTATTAATTTACATTGGTTCCAGATACCACTGAAAAGCCACACTGCAGCCCCAGGATCACCACACAAGTTTGTGGCTGGAGATCTGAAGCTGGAGAAGTTCAGAGAAGTACTTTTACAAAGATTATGCAAACCTAAATTTCAAATTTCCAAAAAGCCTGTACTAGCCATGGCAGTCAAAACTACAGCTTAACACTCCTTCCCTAAACCCTGCCAGTGAGATGAGTCACTGAAACAACAAAGACTCTCTTGAGGTGTTCTCTCAGGCCAAAGCACTGCTTGAAGCAGGAGCAAAATGGTGGCAGACATCACTTGAATGAGACAGTCCCTGGCTGTCCTTCCCTGTGACATGGAATGGGATTCCTGCTCTTCCCTCAATTCTCTAAGACCCCCACACGTATCAATGTTAGGAAATTCTCTTACTCTGCTGTGCAGGGGTTGGATCCTGCAAAGACTTGCATCTAATGGTGCTTTTGCAATATTTTAGCTTCTCACCAGAAAGTTAACAGACATTTTTGCTAAATGCAGTTATGTAAAAAAAAATTACAAAAAATACATACTAAAACTCTTTGCTAACAGTTATGCATACCAGCAGGTCTGTATCCTTCTCCAAGTCCTCATCATCTGCATCCTCCTCTTCATTCAGGTCCTTCATACACTCTGCAGCCATCTTTTCAATATGATCCATGGGCAGAGGAGCTGTAAAAGGAAATCCCAAGGAGCCATAAATCCTAAGGAACAGTTATACCCAGTTAACACTGGGTATAAATCCTGAAGGAGCTGCTACCAGCTGAAAGAGCAGTGCCCTCCCCCTTGTTCCCAATTTATTGCACAGTGTTGGAGGTAACTGAGAGCACATTGATGGGTAAAGGGCAGAGGCTGGGAAGGGAGCAGCCAGAAGAGCAGCACTGGTGTTCCTGCTGTGACACCTGAGGCAGGCAGTAAGCCACTGGCACATTTTCTGCACTGCTGTCTCGTGATGATGAGATTCAGCCTTTTCCAAATTTTTCTTGGCTCCTTCATTTTGCAATTTTGTTTCTGGTCTTCAACCTGGAAACTCCACTCAACTCCTCATTGCTGAGTTTTCATCTGTGCTTCATCCTGTGCCAACCACATCTTCTAAACTATCAACTTCCTCCACATGCTCTCCAAGGTGAGGTTGTTTGCCCACAAATCCCAATGGTCCACGTAAATGCCTCTGATACTTCCCTATGCAGACTCATGACTGTGACTCACCAGTGGCAGTAAAAGCTGCAGAAAATACAGATCTCCAGGACAGAGCTTTACAGTCAGTTTAAATTGATCCCACTCACTCCCTGCATTTGCTGAATCAGCTGAAAATTAACCCAGGTACAAAACTGTTTCTGTTCAAATAATCCAACTGACCCCATGGGTGCTTCAGTATTTGTATCAAACATGCTGCTCAAAAGTTTGACCCTTAGCAAAACTTGGACTGCAGGCCATACCCAAAGGCAACTGGCTGTGCAGAAAACTGCAGCAGAGGCAGAAAACCTAATCAAGCCTCCTCAGATGGTTTTTCAGCTCTAATCCCATGCAGCAAGATGAGGCCACAATTTCAGACACGTGAGTGGCTGCCCAGCTGGCACTTATCAGAGACAGCAGGGATCTCTGGGCTTCAGATGTTCCAACAGTGCAGCTTTTGCTGGAGGAGGAGGAGGAGGAGGCCATTCCCCCACACCCATCAGAGCTCCAGGATGTAATCCAGGAGGGAATTACTGCTCAGCCAAGAACCAAGCACATGAGTGGCACTGGATCCCTTTTTCCTGCCCTTTCCCAGACAGGATCTGCTTCTCCCCAGCCCCCAGAGCTCCTCCTCTCCAGGCAGATGGAGACCTGCCTGCATCCTGGGCCAGCTCTCAGGAGTGCCCAGAGCCAGCTGCTCATCCTCCATGAGCTTCTAACCCACACACTTCCAATTCTAACAGGAAAACAGAATAGCTGCACACTGCTTTGCAAAATCCTTTTTGAACCACACATTTAGAAGGCACAGTAAATGATAGGCATAGTAAATGTTAGTTTTGCACTGCCCGAAGTTTTGTTTTCCTCTTATGAATAAAAAGGCCAAAACAACAAAATAAATGACGTGACAGTGAGAGGGATGAAAAACTGATAACAATTCAAGAGCTCCTGATACACAGATTCACCCTCAAAACATCATCCTGCAGGTTTTAGCCATGAGTAACCTATGCCCAATGGCATAAATTCTGCTGTTATGCCTATCTGCACAATTGTGCTTATTAGCTTTAAGAGTTCACTAAAATTTTGAAATGTGGAGAGTGGAAATGATTTAGAATTCAGTTTCAGGTACAAACTTGTCCTTTGTCTGTCATCAGCCACTGTGTTTATAGAGTTGTCTTGTCTAAACATTTCAAAATTCTTCATTCCCGGCTGCTCTGTGCGAAGTCCCTTCAAATATTACAGGGCAACGACTGCAGAGCTGCAAACAAGGCTGCAGGTGCACTATCCCCTCCTTCCTGCCCTGCTCACACACCTGCAGGTCCCCTTTTTCTTTCCCCAGCTCTCAGACAGGCAGGGAGCAAACCTGGTTCAGCTGAAAGCCACCACAGGAACTCAGGTTTATTTTGGCAGAGGAGCTCCTGAGGCAGCCCAGCCTGCAGCCCCACACACACAGCCGTGCTCAGAGGCAGAGCACACTCACTGAGGGGCCCTCCCAGCAGCAGCAGCAGCCTTGGCTCATGGCAGGCTGCAGCCAGCCTGTAAACCACTGCAGAGCTGTGCAAACACCACCAGACAAAATTAACAGCATTAGGAATGGTAACAGTCCATTCCAAGAGACACTGTAACCTGCACCACACAAGCTACAGGATTCTCCAAGTGATTGCATCAGTATCTGCCTCTGAAAACGGGATTCAGTTTTGGTAACAGACTCCCAAGTAACTAAAAATATAATGCTCATTATGTAAATGATGATGTTCACCCTTCAAACAAAAACACAAGAACAACCACATGACAAACAACCCACCCTCCACAAGAAACATCATTTCCCCTCTAAAATCATCTAGCGCCTACTACACCTTTTTATGACTTCACATGCTAAAAAAGCATCTCTTAATTTAGTCATTAAATGGGGCAGCCACCAGAGATCTTTTTCATATATCTACAAGAGCATCAACAGAAAAAAACTTTTACATTGTTTGTGGAGTAACAAATTAAACCTTTCAAAGTAAAGGAAAGAGCAGTTGCAAATTCAGTTTCTACCAATGACAGAAAAACCATTTTTGATAAATGTAAAGATTTTTTAGATCAATTTGACAAAGGTAAATTAAATTCAGATCCTTTAACTTACTTTTCACCTTTGGTTTTGGTTTTCCTTCTTTCACTTTTCCTCCTGTGATAGCAGCAAGCTCTGCCTCAAGGTCCCCATCATCCTCACCTTCCTCTGCAGCCAGCAGCATCTCTTCAGGATTGAAATCCACAAACAGCCCCAGCTGGAGGTAAGGGAAAATAACAGTACAGAATAATAAAATATCAGTTAGAACAAAGATGACACTCACATCACACTGCATGGATTATTTAGACATTTTCATGCATTCTAAATCCTGGGGTTTTTTTTTACAGCCCACTATCACACCACCTGTATTACCCCAACAATGCATACAGGCACCCAAAACTGATGTAAGGTACATAAATCTTAACACCCCACAAGCATCCCTTTAAAACTCTACACAAACCATTTCTTAAAATCAATCCTGTTTAACAGTCTGACATAAGAAGGTAGAGTAAAATGTTTTTTACTGAGCCTCATGGAGCAGATAGCATCAGAGAAGTTCAGGGCAGTGCCTCCATAACAGCTAAGCTAAAAATCATTCACTCATGGCTCACACACAGCAGGTCTGACATGTGCACACAGCACAGACTTCACCCTTATCTCTTGAAGAAGCTACATTTATAAACACAGAACTGCTCTGTCTTCTTCTCACATCAGTTTCTAAACCCCAGAAACAAACACAGCCATTAAAACCCAGCAATGGCCACACTGCACTGGGGAAAACCATCAGAACTGGCTGGCACAGATCATCAGCTGAGAGATAACATCTCAGGGAACAGCACTAATAACAGCAACCAGGATATGGCAGCAGGGGTTAGCACTCTCTGGTGGCAAAACATTCCAAAGTACACCAAAGGAATCTCTGGGCTCTTAGTCCAAAAGGTATTCTTTTAAAATGCCATTTCATCACTGTTTTTGTGTTTCTGGTTAAGATACTGACAGCCCCAGGAAAATAAAATTATCTTAAGTATGCTAACATTTTTAATGACATGAATGAACAGAATTAGATTCATCCTATGAAGGTGAAGCTTTCCTCAGACTTTTCCAAAGCACAACCCTGATTGATCCCCCCATGGCCAAGGAGGCAGCACTTCAGCTCCTCTCCAGCACAGGAAAAAACATCAGCTGTCATTATTCTGAGGGTCAGCAATCTCCCTCTGTCCTGATGTTCTGAAGTGCTGCAAGAAGCTGCCTGTCAGTTTGTAAATTAATGTGAGTAATAGTTGGTTTTTTTAACCCAGCAGGAATCAAAGGGCTGGTGGCTACTGCCCTGAAAGATTCTGTGCCCCTCTCTGGACCATTTTATAATCCCAATCTTTCATCAATGTGCAGAACAGATGAGGAGCACACAGGACCTGTTCATTACCACACTGCAAGGGTGGGCAGTGAAGCAACTGCAGCAAGCACGGAAGTCAAGAACACAATTCAGCTGTTCCAGCTCCAAGTCCCAGCCCATTCAAAAAGGAACATTTCCAATGAAATTAGCAGTACTGAAGCAATGTTTAATAAAACAGAAAAAATAAGTTATAGAAAGCTTGCAGTTGATATACTACACAACAAAAAATCATTTTAAATTGAATTAATTTGAAAGCGAACAAGCCATTTCCTTCAAGAGACACTTATCTATGATGTAAGACAGGCTGAATAATTAACTGTATTGAATTAGGAATTAGTAAAAGATGTTAATCAGATCCTTGAATTACTCTCTGTCTTTTCAGAGTGAGGTTTCTTTTTTTTTTCCCCAGAAGGAGGAAAATTATTTTCACCTTTTATCTTCTCCCCTGCTCAGACAAACTAAGTTATACACTGTCTGTCTCACAGAGAAATGTAAACTTTCACACTGGAGCCATGGTGACATTATGGATCACTAACTACAGCATTCTGCCTCCAGTATGAGAACACTGGTTCCTAAGAAATCACCAAAGGAGAACATCTTAGCTATTTCCTCTGTTCGAACAGCCTGTTACAATCCCTTTTCACATTCCTCTACTTTCTTACCAGTTATTCCACCTGTTACTTCCCTCTATTCTTCAAAGGTTTCTGAAATTCCATTCTGGTTCTAACATATTTAATTAACTCTTAACTACACTGTTTTCCCCTCAGTTTTCCACCCAGAATTTTGCCTTGACTGTATTTCTAATTTTGACACTGTCGCCTGACTTGCTACACCCGCCAACCATGACTAATTATTGTTTCTCTCCACAAGACTTCTGAAACTCCATCCAAAGGTAAATAAGTATGGCAAAAAAACCTCAACACACAGACACAGCTAAACTCAGTTTTATCTACAGGAAAGGGGCATACCAGTCTATCTGCTACATGAAAATGACTATACAAAGGGAAATTTAAAATTAACTGTCTCTTGTTTAGCATCTCAATATTCTCCCATATACGTCCCTTATTTTGTTAACTGATATTTTGCTATTGTTTCTGTTTTCTTAGAGATATAAGGAAAGCCTCCACAGAGTCACTGAAGTTATTATTAAATCTCAACATAGCTGGGCTAAGAAAATACTGTAAGCATGAGTCATGAGGTCTCATGCAAAGATTACAGCATTACAACACTGTGCCTTCCCTGCAAGACCTCCACAGCTGCCTATCAGATATTTACTCGAAGAAGAAGGCATTAAAGAAGGAAGGAAAACAGGCACCACACATTCTAATTTTCCCCACGATCCCGCAATGCTATTACCACATGGGAGATTCTGCAGGAAAACAGCAGCGAGAGGTCTGAGCGAGACCATCCCGAGGAGGGAGTGGGAGGTTTCCCTGCCGGCTCTGCCACCACATCTCCCTGGCCCTTCGCCCTCCTTACCTGCTTTGCAACTGCAGCTCCCTGGCCCTTTGCCTGAGGGCTCTTTTTAGGTCTTCTGCCAAGCATGTTGGTTCATGAATTTCAGAGGGCTGTGTCTCTGTAGGACTGAGAGCACACGGAACTTAAAGTCAGCGCCTGCCCGTGCCAAGGCAAAGCCCGCCGGACG